AGATAGGACAGAGAGAGAGACAGGAAAGCGAGGGAAGAAGAATGAGGGAAGGACCTGCAGCAAAGGGCCATGAGCGTGACTCGAACCCATGAGCGCTGCGTTGTTTAGCCCCTGAACGCGTGACGCCCACTCAACCAGTTGAGCTGTAGCGATGCCCCAGAACCAGCATTTTTAAACAAGAGCCAGGCGAGTAGCAACATTTTTGGATGCCAAATCCAGGCAGCAGTGGTCTGAGGAGGAGACCCAGTGCTTCCTGGCACTGTGGTCTTCAACTGAAATCCAAAATAAGTCAGAGGGAGCCTCTCGGACAAAGCAAAAAAAAAAGTCCAGCGGGAGATGGCTGCAGCCGGGTACGAGTGGCGCCTCGACCAACTCCTCAATAAACTCAAGAAACTGAAAAAGGACTACAGGGACCAGAAACGGCTATGTATGCAGTGACGTACTGACGTTTTACGGTGACGCAGTGGTGTGGCTCTAACTTGCCTCCTTGCCAATGGAAAAGCTTACAGGTTCTTAGGAGGTGTGGGATTTAGGGGCTCGTTATCAGGATCGTTATCAGGCTTCTGCAGAGCTGATGATGAGCTGATCATTTGAATCAGGTGTGTTGGAAGAGGGAAACATCTAAAACATGCAGGATTGCGGCCCTCGAGGTGGCCACCCCAACTGGCACCAGCAACAAACTAGCACCTGGTTCTTCTTGGTGGAAAAGGGGTAACAGAGAACAGACAAACACCACAAAGAAAAGCCCCGACTGATCAGCAGGTTCAAATCCAGAACCTTCTATGGCGCCCCTTCAGACAGGATCTTTGCTGCAAATAATAGCAGCTCGTTACAGATTGGGCTGCAGCACTGTGTCTGATTATTCCTGAGCGGTGCCAAGCACTATGGAGTTGTAGCCAATGGCTGGAAGTTATTTCCTTGCCATCTGAAGCTTAGTGGACAGACCGAGAACAGGACTTTTTTGAGAATCGTCAGTGGAAAGCATCTACAAAATCAGTGCTTCTCTAAAGTTTGGGACTGACTGCTTCAATTATAAGTCTTTATGATGAATTATAAAGGTGTCGATAAAGCAAGTCCAGTTGCTACAATTAATCTACGACAATAACAATGACCTGGATGACTGAGAATCTTCACAGACGTGTAGATAATGACTACACACAGCCTCCCCTCCTAACAAGCATCCATTTAGTTTTGGGGCAGTCGGCGTGCTCTCAGCGTGTGTTGTTCACTTGATCACAAATTTTGGGCGGCACACAGACTTCAGCAGATTTACATCTCACAGATCCTTGCAGACACGCGGATGCAGAAAACATGAATTGGCCTTTAAGTATTGTATCATAACCGTCCTCTCATCCTTGAAGGATTTGTGGTGAGGAAGCTTTGATTTGTGTTGGTTTGATTATTCTGCTGTTGTTATGCATTCAGTTATATATATATATATATTTGCATTTTTGTGTGGTACCCTTATCCTAATATGTTTGATTTTTAACAAATTCGTTAATTTAAATCTATATGTTCTTTTCAGTTCAGTTGTTGTGTATCACATATTTACTGGTATTGATTCTATGTCGTGTTTTGATAGTTCTGTTCATTTTAATTATTTCAGATTAATCAGTCAGAGGCGTTGCACTGCTCAAAGTGGCAATAATGTAAAAGGATGAAGAAATAATATTGGGTCACTTCATTTAATAGTTCAAAAGTTATATAATGAATATAATTATTGGTTGGAGTTGTGTATGTGTGCCTGGTTGTACACAAGAAATAAAAAATATCTGTTGAAGGATTGGTTTGGCATTGTAGGAAATATGTTAATCTGACTTATAAAATCATTGATACCACTCTCATGACAGTGTGTCACTAATGAATAGCTTAGCTTAGCATCAAAGCTTCTCTTAAGGCAGTTTCAGCTCAGCAAAGACTGTAAGTATCACCAATTAGCGCATTGTACCGCAATTGTTTATTTTGTGCAAACTGTTTAATCTATTAAATGAGATGCAATATGTTAATTAGTGCAGTTGAAAGGCATATTTTGTTAACTTTAAGTCTTTATCAGACATTGGATAAGTGACATTGCTGCTTCATCAGTCTGTTAAAGAGAAAGATCACTTTCACATTAATGTTCGTCTTCATTTAGACATCACAGTGATGTTGAGATTCCCACTACGTACGCAGTATTTGTCATAAACATGAGACTGGAAACTACAGTAATTGATGCATAATAAGGCATTAAAAATCAAAAGACTAGATCTAAACTAATAAAAACATATCAAACTGTCAAAGTAACTAATAGTGTAGATTATTTGTGATTTCCTTAACACTGAAAATTATGTGATGATAATTTAAGGAATAGTTTTCCAACAGTGAAATAAAAAGATCCCGGCAGCTGTGATGGAGCTCAGGACTCGAGCTGAGGACGACCGCTATCTAAAAAACGATCTGACTGCAGCTATAAACTGTGACTGTGTGACATCTCACCCGTCTGAAGTGAAGAAAAGCATAAGATCCTGATCAAGCGTGTGTCCATGTCAGGAATAATTTATAATGTAAATAATTAGTGAAGTTACCACTGTTGTTCCATGTATGTAAATGTACTCTCTTGCTTTGTAAACGCTCACCTGGATCTTGCCGTTGTTTGATGCTGCAGGTGTTTAATAAACTCCTACAAACAGCTGGAAGCAACAAACTGAACTTCAACTCCCGTTAATGTTTTGTCAAAACCTACATTCATTTTTCATCAGTCTCATTAATCTGAGCTGTTACACTAACAGCACAGTACAGTTTTATATTTATGGACATTTCAGCTTGACATAGATGTGAAATTGTAGAGCAAAGCAATGAGAAAAGTGTTTTAAGATTTTGACACACAAACAGTTTGTTTCTGGAGGTGTCTGTCCATTGTTGTGATGACATGCAGCTCAGATTTGTGAAATGCTAAAAGTGATACGTAAAGGTTATTGGGTCCTCAACTTTTGTGGAAAAAAGGACATTTCTTTTTTGCCTTTAGTAGATAGGACAGTCAAGAGAGAGACAGGGAAGTGGGGGAGACGAATGGGAAAGGACTGGAAGGAAAAGGGCCATGAGCAGGACTCGTACCCATGGCCGCTGCATCAGAGACCATAGCCCCTGTACATGAGCTACCATGGCACCCTGAAAAGAGTATATTTCTGAAGGGGCTTTAGTCAAAGTTATGCTATCTGTTTTTGGTCTTTATGCTAAGCTAAGCTAACCGACCACTTGCTTATCTTTACCACTGAGACATGAGAGTGGTGTCCTCCTCTTATCATGTTTCCCAAAATGTACTATTTGTCTTATTCTTTACTGGAGGAGATCCATGTTCAGCAAAAAGAAAGCTGATTTCTTTATTTTTAGCATTACTTTAAACATGTAGAGTTCACATCAGTTTGTAATTGGTGTCATAACACAGAGTTCATATGAAGCAGATAGTCCTGAAGCTTTGAAGTTAACCATGTGCTTGATGCTTTCTGGATGTTGTTTTTGATCGTTTCCTATGTGCTACTTGCAGATCTCGATCTGAAAGATGTTTCTTGAGAGCCAGTGTGAACTGCAGCTAGACTTGTCCTATAACCTTATTAGAGGTGTTATCCTGAGCTGACTCATGAAGTAGATGTGTTTTCATATCAACATGTTTGCTACGTTTGCTCCTGGATCCTGATGGGAATCTGGCCAGCTGACTCAGTGGAGGTTATTTAGCTTATCAGCTTATGGTTATCGTTGATCAGGGACCCTAAATGTACCACCCAGGATCTATTTCACATCTAAGTGTAAAGATAAACTGCTTTTCTGTCTTTCAATAATATAACTAGAGTCTATTTCATGAGTCTGGAATTTGTGTGGTTAGAATGAAATGGTGTGAAACTGGTTGCTCTGGTTCGGACCAAGACGCACAAAGTGGAAGCAAAGCGACAATTTGCTAACTTTATCCCAGTGTACTCCTTCCTTTAGTAAACCAGTTGAATTATCCGTTAAAGCATTTCGTTTTGTTTCCATTCACACACCTCACCGTTCTGTTTTAGGTCTCCTAAAGACAAAACTTTATAATATCGCGCCTGTGCCTTTCTCTTTATATTTTCAGCTGAATTGTCTTGTAGTGACTTGAACTCGTTGTCTTAACAGATGTTCTCATATAAAGCCAATAAAGTAAATGATGTGAAACAAAAAAAGACTTCTTTTGCTTGTTGTTTGCCACACACACTATGGCCACATGAGGGAGTCAGAGTCTGCATTTTTAAGTTCAGGCCCTGCTACTTTCTCAGTCCTTCTTCCTGTGGCATTTAAAACAATAGTAAGATATCTTAAATATTTCTATGTCAAACAATACTAAAAAGCAGCTAAAGAAGGTATTAAAATGTTTATTTCATGTGATTTTCAGCGAGGTTCATGGTATACCATTCAACATGACAACACTTCCCCACAAAGTCTTTAATCTGTAATCTCAGTGGACATCCAGCATCTCTGTTAATAAATGGAACATATTCATGTTGCTAAAAGTAACATGTTGTTGTTAAAAGTAATGTTTTTGTCACCATAGTTAAATGCTGTATGATTTATTTAAAATGCTTGCTTTTATAGTTCATCAAACTGTGTGGCTCAATTTAAAATTGCTTTGATAATTGCCAATATATTACAAAATAATACAGTGTAAAGGGATAAAACCGAGTCAAATGTCTTTTCATACAGTCAACGCTCCTAACTGTTATAACAACATAATATAGTATGATACCTTGGATTAGGCAAAATAGTTGCTGGAAATATAAGGAGGATATTTTTATATTATCGTTCCATTACATTTAATGTACATGGCAATTACTATAAGGAAGTAAAATTATATTTTACAAAATGTACATGACTTAATTTTTCTCTAGAATATTCTCATTCGTCACAGGCGCCTGAGTCCCTTGCCGGTGCCAATGCTCTTACTTTATTGGCTAACGTTGCTGTCATTTAGAATCTGTTGCTCCAATTGGTTGAAACAAGACGGAGGTGGGGTTTATTTCCAGGAAGTGTTCAGCGTGACTCTCCTGGCCTAACGTGTTTGCTAATTTCACTTTTCGGCTGTAATTTGCGCCGCTGCCACTTTATTAGATCGTTTTTTTATCTCCCAACAGTATGGGTGACGATGAAGAAAAGTATGACGGGATGTTGCTTGTTATGGCGCAACAACACGAAGGAGGAGTACAAGAGGTAAAATCAGTGTGCTAACGTGCTAAAGCTACCGTGCTAATGGTAAAGCTAATGTGGTTTTCCTGTTAGCTTGTAGGCACTTCTCGTCTATCAGTAGTGGCATACATAAAAACGATGGATTTTAACTATTGTACAGGTTTTAGCAAAGGTTGTGGTCTTTATAAAAAAGCTCTCTCGCTAATGTGGACCATAGCATGTCTGTATTCAGCGGGGTGTACGCATGTGAATAACAACGCTGCAGGGAATCTACTGAAAATCTAATATTAGTACTTCTTGAATTAATTCATTAGAACGTCCACGTTCCTGAAAGAAGAAGCTGTAAATAGCTGTTGTACATTTAAACCTTTAATATAGCACTGGTGCTGGGTTCAGTTTGTAGCGGACTGGAATTTGTGGATAAATTAGATAAAGCCCCCTAACACATGCTTTGCTAACAGTAAAGGAAAATGTGAATTATCAGAAGGACAACATTGCTGTAGATTGCAATGCCATATTTAATGCAGGGATTTGAAGAGGATTGTGTTTAAACATCACTGTTATTAAGGATGGGTGGAAGAGGTATGCAAACTAACCATAAAGCTGATTAACATTAGGAGAAATCACATTAACACGTGGTTGTACTTCAAGTGTGCACAACCTAGCAGTGAACAATGGCCTCCAACATCTTCCACATAAGCAGGATATTTTCTTTAGTCCAGTCTTATCAACACAGCTCATGTACATATTAAAGACATTGTCTGGAGTGTGGCATGTCTAACTTATTCTAACCTATTTTTCTCTCAACAGTTAGTAAACACATTTTTCAGCTTCCTCCGGCGCAAAACAGATTTCTTCACCGGTGGAGATGCAGGTGCTGCAGAGAAGGTGAGCAGTGTTACTCTATCTGCACTCTGTGTGACATTTGAGACTGTGCTATCTATAAGCTGTTCCTATTCAATGGCAGAAACACACCTCCACCTAATTCTGGCCACCTGTTTCTTTCAGGTAGTCAAAGATGCCTTTGCCCACCACAATAAGCTCGCGGTGAAGGCCCACAAAGAGAAGCAGACAAAACAGGATAAGGAAAAAAAAGAGAAAGCCGAAAGAGCTGCCAAGCTTGCAGAGGAAGAGAGGAAAAAGAAAAATGACGACGGTCCCAGAATTCAGGAACTGACTGATGAGGAGGCGGAGAAGCTTCAGTCTGAGCTTGACAAGGTGAAATCTTATTGCTTTAGTGTATCTATCACAAGCAAATCACTGCCACTTTAATTGGTGTTACTTTATATGTAAATATATGTGTTTGTGCTTTATATGTTAGAAAAAGAAAGAAGAGGAGGAAATGAAGAATGTAACCACAGACTCAAAAAATACATCTGACAAAGCAGAAAAAGAGAAGACCGAAAAGGAGAAAGGGGTGAGTGAACAGTTAGTAAAATGGTGATTATACAGTTTGGTGTTGATCAACAATAAAATGTGGCTCTGCTGACTTACTTCTCTTAATTTCCATTTTCTCCAGTCTGACTCTGAAGGAGAGGAGGACGAGAAGGACAAAGACAAACTGAAGCCTAATTCGGGAAATGGAGCTGACCTGCCCACCTACAAGTGGACACAGACTCTGTCTGAAATTGATGTGAGTTTTTATCAACTTCGGCATCACGCTTGGCTTCTGTGTCACCAACTCACGTTAATCAGTCACCTGAAAGTATGTGTTTTTGGTCATCTCACCTTTTTTATTTTTTATCCTGAATGTGTTTGTTTAAGAGCAGCCCCAGTCCTATTATGACCCAATAGATGACTGCCCCTGCACTTCTTCTCTGCCCTACAATGTCCATTTTTAGTTATGTATTTATACCATTTCATATTTATAGTTAGACGCTGTGGACTATATGTCAATTCTATATTTTACGCCACAGTGTCTATTTAGGATGCAGTTCACTCCTCTGGGCCGCCTCCTTCTCTGACAGGATGATGTGTCCTGTTGTGGAGCTTCTAGCATATTAGGGCTATCGTGTCCAAATCGATTGGTCCATCAATATGCTCTTATCTGGCCAAATTCTCATTGGTCGGACAGTCGCCGGTGTTACTTTCAGAAGGCGCAAAGTGTTACATCAACAGCCTTCCTGCCTGTCCACAATATTGGGCATTTAACTCACGAGATTAGAAAAGTACAGGAAGTTACTTTAACATCCTGTTAAGATGCGTATCTCCTCCTCAGTACAAAGGGATAGCAAATGTCTTATCTTTGCAACAGACCACCTTCCAGCCATTTTTTTTTTTTTTAAATCTGAAAAGGTGTTTTTACAATCAAACCTGCCACATCTGAACTATGTTTGGAATTAGGTTGCAGTTTGTTAAGTACTGCTTCCTCAATTGTTGTAATTGGTGGACACAGTGTTCACAAAGACATTCTGCTTTGTTTTGCTTTGTCAGGGCGGTTTGCATCTAGGTTTGCATTTAGGTAAACTATCGAACATTCTGTCAACCTACTTTCTTGCTGTTATTCTGAAATGTCTGTCACCAGTGTGATAGTTTTTGACCCAGACCTGCTACATTCACACTTACTGTTCTCTTGTCATTGAGCGTGTGTGTACATAAATGATCTTTGCATCCTTTATCAGCTGACAGTAACCCCAATGTGTTGAGCTTTACAGTGTTACCTATTGGCAACACCAGGTGGTTGCATGTTATGAACAATTTTGATGCCCCTAAATTAATCTGACATGAATTTCCAATCTTTAAATCCTCCCACAGCTGGCAGTGCCTTTTGACGTGAAGTTCCGCATTAAGGGGAGAGATGTCGTTGTGGACATCCAGCGGCGCTCCATCAAAGTCGGCCTGAAGGGACACCCTCCTGTTATTGAAGGCCAGCTCTTCAACGAGGTGAAGGTAGAAGAGAGCTCCTGGCTCATCGACGATGGCAAGGTGGTTACTGTCCACTTTGAAAAGGTAAGAAAATGTAGTTTTGTGGAGACTTAATCCATCTCTCCGCTTTTTCAGCTGTGACATGATTGCACCAAATCCTGTTCTTTGGTTTCAGATTAATAAAATGGAGTGGTGGAACAAGATTGTTACCACAGATCCAGAAATTAACACCAAGAAAATCTGTCCTGAAAACTCAAAGGTAAAGGACTGACTGCCCCTCCTCTTCATTTACAGTAACAGTATGTTACAAAAGTGGCAAAAAGATGACTGACCAGTGTTCCTCTGTCTTCCTACCCGCTCGTCACTGTGTGTATTTTCTGCTGAGCAGCTGTCAGACCTGGATGGTGAAACACGTGGCATGGTGGAGAAGATGATGTATGACCAAAGGCAGAAATCAATGGGCCTGCCCACATCTGAAGAGCAGAAGAAACAAGACATTCTTAAAAAGTAAGTTTCCGCTCTTGCATCTCAGCCAAATCACATATCCTGTTTATGTCACTTTCTGTTGTCATAAAACGATAAAGATTTTCTTTATTCTGTGTCGGCTGACATCTAGTGGTTTACAGGGTGACTCTCTAAAGCAAGTGCTGATTTCATAGTCAGTTTAACAACTTTATGGTGCATAAAGATTTTATAAGAACAGGGAATCTAAAAGCTGTCCGTCTAGTTTGTCTGTCCCTTAGTGTCTCCTATTTCTGCTCAAGGCCAAGCTCAGCTGCTGTAACTACAGGTGACAACGATGGCATGGTCGAGCTGACAGATAGAGTGACCTGGTTTAAGGAGACATATTAAATGACATTTCTGTAGATTTTTACCTATGTCTTAGCGTACAGGTTCTCCTGGAGTTGATAATAGGGTTTGTTGCACTTTAAACATAATGCCAGTTGTTTTGGTATATTAGGTGCAATTTGTGTGTGTGAGGACTGAAAATGAGTTTAAAAGACGACAAATTTGTAAATGCAAAAAAAAACTGTTAGTGTGGAGTTAAAAAAACAACAACAAAAAAAGTAAGCTTACCAAAACCGCTGCTACTGCTTCTCATCTGTGCTGCAGATTAGCTGCTCAAGGCTACTTTAGTCAATAACACCATAACACACCTGAGTTTCACATCCTGCTGTGTGCAGTTGATTTCTATTGTGGGTAATGATGGTCCTAAATTTAAAAAAAAAAAAAAAGATGAACCAATACAAATTAATAAAGATTTAATATCAGGTTGTTCTGAAGCTGTTTTTGATCCACTTTGCCCATTATGAGACAGGTGCTAAATCAGTGGAGTGCTCATTGCTCCGCTGTAGAGAGATGAGAGTTCTCTGATTAAAAAGAGTTGCACTGATGGCTTATTTTATTGTAAAATGAAAACGCTGTCAAGAGACAAAATCAATTTAATTTCACTTCTGTTTTTAATACATTGTGCCAGTTCACAACTTAAGTCATCTCAGAGCACTTCACATAGCAAGATAAAAGCCTTATGATATTATATTATAAAGAGAAACCCAACAAATCCAAGCAGTTCCCTCTGAGCGGCCCTCAGGCAACAGAAGAAAGAAAAAAAAAAACTCCTTTTAACAAGACAAAACCTCCGGCAGAACCAGGCTAGGGGAGGGCAGCAATCGGCCTCAAGTGATTGGGGTTAGGGTGAAGTGGAGGGAGAGTATGAGAGAGAAATGGACACTGCATCAGAAAAACAATGAGCACTGGGCAAATTGGTGAGGCCAGTAAGTGCAGATCAGAAATGTGCAGCTCCACAGCCGGAGAAACCTGCAGAGAGGACAACAACACAA